TTATATACAGGCATGGCGGCGTCGGTGATCCATATTGGCGTCGCGCCAATTTGGTCCGCGACGAGACAGTGACAGTGAATTAGAAGTTTGGTACAGATTGAGCCACTTCTGCATTGTATTGCAACCTGCGTGTCTTTATAGCATCCCTCCAGTGCTGCAAAAGTCACTTTAGACAAAGTGGATATGCCCAGACGGCGCAGATTCATCGTATCCCATCGCTGGGGATTGTCGTCGCAGACTCGCAGCCAATACTGTTGAACCTGATTAACAAACCATGATTTCGAGAAACGTACTGAAAACGAATGAAGTTTGCCTAAACGGCATTTACACTCGAAGGAAGGCTCGAATGCTGCTCCATTCCCCGGAATAAATCAGCGTCTTCGCCCAACGCGCTTGTATCGCTGTGACCTTATCACGTACACGCTGAGAAATCTCCGGGCAGTTGTCGTTGGCGATGGTTACAAAGCGCCGACACCGTTCAGCAGGCGTTTCCGTGGCCCGGAAGCGCAAAAACGGAATAAGCACATGGTCCACATCCAAGCGAACGTCATCTCGGCGACACCATTACCTTTCGCGTTCAAAAAATCCCGGTTCGTCATTGTCGAGCAGTATCTCAAGAGCGGATCCGATTAAAGCTTCCATCGCGGAGTAATTAACCAGCAGTAGTTCCTCACACACCGCCATTTGCATGGACAGCATCTGCGCTGCATATTCTGCACTGTATCCAACACGGTAAATGGCCAAGAACGGTGTTTTATGTAGAGTATGCGCAGCGTTCCTCACGATGATCCGTGGCAAGCGGATGCCCTTCGCTTCCAGTAATATTCGGATCCCCGACATTTTTTCGCTGATATCAAACCTGGCGTTGGGGTATGTGCCGTCATCCAGCAGTGCCAGCGTGCGAGTGTGTTGATCAACGGTGCGGTTCAGTATGGTCATGAATCTGTACGCGCGAAAATATTTTTCCACTTTCAAATCGTGGTCATATGGTTTTCTTGGGCACATTCCCGGGCTGTCGAAAATCATGTCCCGATGACTGACGTATTCCAACAGAAGAAGCCGCCACAATGCGCATACCCTAACCAGGACATTACTGTACAGAAGGAGTATTGTACACCCACGAAATATTCGTGCACTCCGAAGCACTTTTCACATTACAGAGTATGTAATATCATTTTGCAACCGGATTACTTGAAAGCAAAGCCCAAAATGATGCTTTAAACTTTGTTCCATTTTTATTTAGCAACCGAATGCGGTGTACAAACCAATTTGTAAATGAAAACCATCTGGTTGTAGACTGATACTCGAATAAAACGATACAAAATGTATTTCGGAGTGTGCAAAGCTAAATGTACGTACGTATTAAAACGATGCTGTGCTAGTAACCGTGCTAGTAGACGAAGTGTTAAAGCATCTCCACTCGAATTGCTTACTCAGCGCTTCGAGGGAGCTCACTGACTCTTCAGGTTGGAAAAGGATGCGAGGTCACGAAGCAGCTACATACTGTATGATTACGATTACCAGAATCGAGAAACACCAATTCACTGTGCGGCCAGAGCGCAGGCCTGACTTTATTAGTACGTCCGTACGAACGGACGAAGAACGAAAACTAAAATCAGGTTCAGAAATAGAAGGGCAGCTTCCGATAAATGTGTTTAGTCATGCTGTGCGCACGGTGAACTGGTCAGAACAGGTAGCCACACATGGTGAACCGCTCAGACAACATTCATTAGCTTTAGTATCTTACTGGGCCATATAACCTTAACATGACTGTTTTTTACTGCTTACTTTTACACTACGGCTTCACGTTTACTGATACATCACGAAGATAAAGACGTAAAAACTTACCGATACATCCGGAACTGGGTATACACATCCAGATTAGCAAGAACACAAGCGAAGACCGGATGCGCAAGATCATTGATGACCCGCTCACTCATACCTATAGAGGACAAGCAATGCGCGTCATATTAGGAGTACGCACTGTAATCAGTTTACTCGTGTAGCGCTCCATCAAGTAGCGCCACACAGTGGGATGTACGAAAATGTACACAACCAGAATGGCTCAATATTATATGCAGCTGGGGCGGTGAACAGCAGGGACACCACAACATCCAGCCTGCCAGCGGTGCGGTTTGCTTCTGTGTACTTATACAGTAAAGCAGGGAGTCTGGACTCTGGAGGCGATTTATTTGCTAGACATTTGCCAATCGTCCGCTTACCATGCTCGAGGACAGTCGATGGACGAACTTGAACGATATTCGACTGTTCCGCCAGCTGCTGAGAAAGATAGTTTTCGCAGGCTTCCTGTAAGGATTCCCCGCTCCAGAACATACTGCTGTTGGGGTATAAACTCATCCACGAATGATATCGACCGGCATCTTTGTGGACCTCGGCGCAGATCAGGGTGATCGTGTCCACGTCCGCTCGAACATACACGCGGCAGCCCACATAGAACTCATAACGCTCCCCACTGGACGCCCGATGTTTAGTTTGACAATTAAAAGCAAATCTGTCGGTCCGCACGTCCCGTGCGTAACGGCAGTCGGAATTACACACCGCACGCGGATCCAGTCCCAATTGACACGTATTGGTCAGGAAACAGGGGAAGAAATCAATATCTCGAAGGAGGTGGGCGTTGGGGAACTTGATGACATGTTTCTTGAACAAAATCCACGTAGATCTCTCGAAGAAGCAGTCTTCGGGCGACGGAATACTGGCGAACTGGGTAAAGTGCGCCAAGTGACAGGTCACCGTCTGCGTAGTGCCTCCATCATCCACACGCACGATGTAGAACATGGAGTCCAGAATGTGAGTGATAGTTATCAGGCGAAGTACCAGGGGACCACCGGCTTCGTCGCGCAGCGCCACCCTCGCCGGACGGTCGGGAATTGGGTCGGAATATGACGGACGCGTGAACTGATGTGGCCAGATATGGCGGGAGTGAATCCATTCGGCATTGACCGTGCTGGCGTCGAAGTCAACGAAGAAATTATCGCCGTCAATATCCTGAACGTATCCCAGCCACCACTGACCGTTATCACGCTCCACCAGCACCGTGTTGCCGTAGTTGACTTCGCGTGCGCCCGAATATAGCTGACGAAAATACCGGGGCGTTGCGTTCATGGTGAATTGGCGATGTCCCTGGTGACACGTGTAGGTACAGTTACCGAAACTTCTCAACAGTATTTTTACAATAAGAAGTAAAAATACGCGGCTAGGCCATATGATTTGGATTCGCATATGTTAATTGGATTGATTTTATTTTTTGAAAACTACGTTTTAGCTTGATTCAGCTTTCTTGTGCACGTGTCACTTACAGTCTTACACTGCGACGGCACAGCCGCACGCGTACGGTGGTGGCTGCAACTATCGTAATGCAGCGCAGTGGTTCGCCGGGGCCCGGGTGTGACTTAAGTGTTTCGTCGCCATTTTCTTAACGATGTACTGTGATTGAAAGAAAACGACTCTGACTCTTTTAAAATTTCAAGTGCTATGCAAAGGCTGCGTTTGGCTTTACCACGTAAAGGAAAACGCTGGAAAAGAAACGGGGTGTGGAAATTGTACGTAATTCACGATGGCCAGATCGAACGACCGTACGAGAGAAGGATGCTGATGCTTGCTGTAAAGAGCACGTTACAAAACACTCCAGTGGACTGCAACGTTTTTATACTCCGAAATTTTTGTGTTGAACCGTTTCGTTCCCGGTTGTCCATTAAAATCGCCGTAATATCCCCCAAGATGTTCCCTACATCCTGATGACGAAACACATGAGCTATGGTTTATTTAATGGTTTACTTAAACTTAAACTCCGTGTAAATAACCATAGACGAGTGAGAGTGTTAATAATAATTCATCAGTCCTTAATGATCGACTTGGCCTGACGGAACCATACAAATTGTGGATTATGACACATTGAGAGGCCGGAAGTTGGCGGCAACGGCGAATTTGGTTTGGAGACTTTACGTTACACAAAAAGGTCATCGCTGATGGACTGTACTGGTCCTAAAGTGCAGTTCACACGTGCCATTATACTTCCATCCATCCGTCCAGTCCATTATACTTCCTGGGCGTACTCTGCAACGAATGCACGCCACGGAAAGTGCTGGATACGAAGAATTACTTCTCACCCGCGACAGTGGAAGGCAGAGAATGTCATTTACACGGAAGCGCTGCAAATCCTGAGACGGCCTGCTGATCATTACGAAAGACCGCCGAATTGTTGCACTGGTCGCAATGAAACTGTTACGCTGCATTACTGCGACGTACAATATGCACTGTGCATGGGATACTGTTCCTGTTGAAAAATACCTGGAAATTTACTACTTACGAGACCGCTGCAGCTTACATGCGCTCGCGAAGTTTGGCCTGCTTCATGCGCATGACGCCGCCGGTCGTTCGCCTTCACTTCAGTTATTCGCCTGCTCGCGTATGGCAGTTTTGCAGTAAGTTTTCCATCTCTTCGGGGACTTAGCAAATAATCACTTCCAAGTGGGAAGCTAACTAAATCAAGCTGCCAAACCAGGAGGTTGCCATTTGTTCACCCACCGGAAGCAGTTGGAATTTGTAATTTTAAAATTTTCGGTTAATTTGCTTTTACAAAACGCTTAAACAAATTAGAAGTAAATAAATTTACGGAGGAATTCGGGTTAGGTAGCTAGCAAAAAATCAACTGCCCGAGTGACGTTTTCCGGCAGGCGATGGGGGGTTGCCATCGCGACAGAGGGTGTTTAGCACCCGAGACCATATGGCTCTGTTGTGTAGAATTTGTAAGGGTAGTCTTTTTTGTAGAAGCAGTAGTTTAGCCATATGTGTCCTGTCAAGGACGATTTTCGGGTTGGGTGTTTCGATATAAATGAGGCCGCTTTTAAAGTTCTCTGACGAAATGATTTTTGATTGGAAGTTATCGGATGGGGGAGGTAGGTATTTGCTGGTGATTGGTGGTTTTGTGAAGTATAGTGTGTTGTGGGTATATAAAGGAAATCGGAGTGCGGTGGAAATTTAGTTGGTTAAGGGAAATTGTGAGAAGTTTGTTGTGTGGATTGTGTTGTAAGATCTTATTTGATAGTTTGATAGCAAAGGTTGTTGTAGTAAGGTGGAGAGTGGTTTGGAGTGCCTGGGAAGAGGTGTTTGAATGGATTTTGGCAGATTTGTGACAAGTAAGGAATTTTTTTAGTGAATTTTGTCATTATTGGTAATTTTTTGTTGCATTTGGTTTTCTAAGTTGAATAGATTAAAAGATATTAAGGAATAATTAGAGAATTGGTTGGCTTTGGCTTTATGGTAGTGTGGTTTAAACGGAGTTTTAAGGATATCTACGGAGTTTTAAGGATGTTATACAGTATATCTGTATATTCGGATGTTTGGTGTGTAGATAATATCAAGTAGTGCAGCTGCTTTTCGCTTGTGTGAAAGATAAAAAATTTTTAACGTGCTACTAGTAGAACTTTTAGTACTTAACATTATCAATAATGTAACTTACTAATATAACGAGCTAGGAGTTTTGTTGTAATGACTTTTGGTAATTACCTCTCGTAACGAAGAGATACATTAGTCGTTCGTCAGAAAGAATATGAGAAGGAGAGATTTTTTGCTAGTGTAGATTTTTTTGGAATTTCATGTTAAAATTTTAATGCTTTTTTGGGGTTTGAGTGTTTCGGGTGGGTGTTTTGTTATTTTTGCGATTTTTATGTTTTTTATTAGTCAAGTGCCAGTTATGACAACTCTTGAAACATAGTAGAAAAATATATTATTCCATTACTGCGTTTACTAAATTTATTACTTAATTTTATTTTCTTTCTTATCTTTTTGCTTTGTGGCGAACGTTATTTGTTCTTTTATTCACTTCGATCAAGATTAACTTTCAATCGACTACCAACTGATGAAGTGCCCAGAAAACAGCTATACTATTTACAGTTTTACTGTAGTACTTACTATGGTGTTGCGCGGTATTCATCGTTATATTCACTGACGCTTATTGATATACTTTTTCGAACTACACCCAATCATTTTTTCTGTGAGAATTCAAATGTGCAGCACATTAATGGTGCATTACTATAGAATTTTAAAATAGTGGCGAGCGCTTACTTATTTTCACTAAACACCGGTATCGCTAGAGTAGGTTGTTGCACGACGTATAGGTCGTTTTTGAGACTGTTATCTGGGACAGTTTACATAAATGCAGTTTACTTAACTGCAGAGGACTTTCTGTAACCGGTAACTGACGTTATCATTAATAGGAAGGTAGTTATAATATTTATGTTAATAAATGATGAAAGAAAAGGAAAATATGGATCATATGAAGGAAAATAGAAATTATATTATGGAAAAAATGGAAAAGTATATTCTGGTAAAATATAGAAAGAATAAGTGGCATTATAGAAAATTTATTTGGGATTTTTAGAGTTATGTTGTGTAGATATTGTAGTTGATAAAATCAAATTGAAGAAACAGGTGGATGTAGTGTTCCGTATGGTTTATTGTATAGTATATGTTGCGATAGTATATGATGCGTATGCGTATATAGTATATGATGCGTATAATGTACTGTAAAGTTGATTGGTTTTATGGTTTGAATCTGGGTATGTTTTGGAGTAAATGTAGTTATGGATGAATGATTATGTGTGTGGGAATAAGATATTTTGAAGAAACAGGTGGGTGTAACGATCCGTATGATGTGAAGTCTGTTGTATTTGGCGATTTTTATTTTACTAAATCTAGTAAATATTTTGAAGAAACAGGTGGGTGCAACGTTCCGTATCATTCAGTATTTTAGGGTATTTTGATCCGTTTTGAGATTGGCAAGTGAAGTTGGAGTTATGAGAGACAGGTGGGTGCAATATTCCGTTTAGAGGTTTACAAATGTTTTTTATTGTAGATTAAAATTGGAAAAATTTGGAGAACATGACTTTCATTCCGATTTTTGTTGCGGTTGTTTGGTTGTATGTTTGAGTTGTTTTTGTATACATGCCATTTTAGGTGTATGGTTTTATTGGTAAGTGTTTTAATTTAATTTGATTGTGCAAAAATTTTTATTTGCTGGTTTTTTAAGGTATTGAAACGAAAATGGGGACAAGAATTTGGGTAAGTTATACAAAGATGGAAAAAAGAGGTGTTAAGCGAAAGTGTGAAAAGAGTAAGAAACCTAAGAAACCTAAGAAACAGATAAAAGAACAAATATTTGGCAGTTCATATTTTAATAAAATTATGGTTAATTATTATCCTTGACTGAGCCGAAACCATCGGAAGTTACATTTGTCTACAAGCCAATAACTGTAATTACGATAGTCATGAAGCATAAGGTCCTAATTTATATTACAAATTCTTTTGTTATTGTAGTTGCGAATCGTTGACGACAGTGGTGTTGTGGATGTTGTGGGATATAATCAAATTCAACAGCAATTATTTGGACATTCAGCTGCTGCGCATCAAAGCGGATTGATTGGGATTCACGATTTTTCAGCTATGAATAAGCAATATCGCGTCATACTGAAACAGTCTTATGCTTATATTGAAGTTAGCAATAAAAACGTTTCATAAATATAACAAGATATTAACACAAGTTATAATTTTTAATTTTTATAAAATATTCATATAGGGTCGGAGCAAAGAAACAATCAGCAAAACGTATATGGAAGAAAAAAAGCCAGGTATAACCTTTTTTACGAGAATAAATTAATTATTAATCTTCAAAATTAATAATGAATTTTTATTTTGATAGACGAAATTCCAGGAAGTGCTATGGATATTGTTGTCACTGACGACAATACAACCGTACTGCAGCCTGACTCCAGCAAACGATCTGTTGGTAAGAATTTAAATATAATTATTAATTTAAAATTTATTTTTTTTAAATTTATTTATTTACCACTTATTTGTTTATACAGGAACTCCGAAGAAACGAAATAAATGAATGGAATAGCATGAACCGTTGCTTTTACTTCGAGATGGACCAATCGTTTTCATTTTTATTGTTGTTATTTGAGCGATTCATGAATTTATTACCGCCATTATACCATTTTTTCTAAGTGCATTATAGTTACCTGTGGTATTATTATCTGACAGTGGTGGTGCGGTATTATTATCTATGTGATGTAGTTATGTTGAATTACTCGTTTAATACTTGTAAAGTTTGTATCTTAGTATTTTTCTTATACTGAAATAAACTATTATTTTGTTATTTTGTATTGGTTTTGTAGTAATTAACTTTTAAAGTTACCAATAACTAAAGGACGAAATAAATAAGGCAATTTCTTTGTTTTCAAGTTTGAGTAGATCATAATATTTTATAAATATGCGACCTACTGAGTCCAAGTAACAACTTACTGGTAGCTGAGAACCTTTAATAATTATCATGGTACGAGTACAAAATATGCATTAGAACAAAACGGCCTTAACGAAAAGAACAGTTGTATTATGCTATCCTGATCGGGATCATACCGATTACACAAACCGAAAGTCAGCTGATGTGTGGTAACAATAAGTGAAAATAAAATTAAAAATTAAGATGGGTAAATTTTAAAATATGCGTCCAACTGCGCCCAACCAGCATTTACTGCCAGCTCGTAGGAGGTAGTATTTAGAGTCAGGTGTGTGTTATAAATATGCGCCCAACTGCGCCCAACCAACAGTTACTGCCAGCTCGTAGGAGGTAGCAGTTAGAGTCAGGTGTGTGTTATAAGTATGCGCCCAACTGAGCCCAACCAACACTTACTGCCAGCTCGTAGGAGGTAGCATTTAGAGTCAGGTGTGTGTTATAAATATGCGCCCAACTGCGCCCAACCAACAGTTACTGCCAGCTCGTAGGAGGTAGCAGTTAAAGTCAGGTGTGTGTTATAAGTATGCGCCCAACTGCGCCCAACCAACACTTACTGCCAGCTCGTAGGAGGTAGCATTTAGAGTCAGGTGTGTGTTATAAGTATGCGCCCAACTGCGCCCAACCAACACTTACTGCCAGCTCGTAGGAGGTGGGATTTAGAGTCAGGTGTATGTTATAAATATGCTCAGTTAGTTTATGTATGTTATAAACTAACTGAGCTGCGTCTCTATCGGAGTCCTACGCACAACCATACTTCCAACTTCATTAACCATTCTTCTTCATTAACCAACATTCAATCAATTATACAAACACCAGGTGGCGCTTCTAACTCTTAAACCGCCTGCCACTTGGCCGCCTCCCCCGAGGTGGCCGCCCGTTAGGTGTTGATTTGAACTTCCGAAAGTTTAAATAAGCCGCTCAGGCACATGGATGAGAGCGAGTATTTTCCTCCCAGCAGAGAGAGAGAGAGAGAGAGAAAAAGAGAAAGAGGGCAGACAGAAACGCCACTCTGGTCTGCTTGCTAGCGATGCAACTACAGTAAATCGCCCGCATGTATTTACGGCTACTTGCCCAGCTGCACTTCCAGTTTTATCGATCGCTAGTCGCTACTAAGCGCATGTATGTAGTATTTTCACTATGTACAACTACGGTACGTACGGTAATAAATTAATGTATAACTCAAAAGCTGTTCTATCAGCCGTCTGGCACGATACATCTAAGATATTATTTTATTCTGCTAAGAATTTCCTGGGATTATAGTATTGAATACATGTACTCGTATGGTTGCGAATACCTTGAATGTGGGTCTGTGCCTAGCTAGTACTTACTGACCAGTGACCACCATTAACTATGACTCTCGTTAAATGGCTTAAATCGCTGATAAAGGCACAACCGGATATTAAAGGATCAGATGCCGCATCCGGTATTCAACTCGAATCTTCTGCACGTGCAGTGAAAACTTTCGAAGAGCGTGGCACTCAAACGGATGCCAATCCTGCCGGGACGAAGCCACGTCTGCCTCATCCCAAAATTCTCCCGAATGGAGGCCTGCAGTTTGAATCGTTTGAGGATTTTCTGGCTTACTGTAGCTATGAGAATCTGCATCAAATTGGTACCACCGAAGAAACTCCCCCTTGTCGAAGAGGCTTTTCGTGGTGCCTGGATAACTGTGCCTGGTGGATTCTCCCTGTGCTGCTGATTGGCTTGTGTGGCCTCATAGTGTATCTAATCGTGTACATACTGTTTGACTTTGAGGGATAATTTTCGTCTTCGTTCTTCATTTCGGGAAACCGTTAGTTTTGCCATAGTGTGCTGCACAGAAAAGTAGTGCATACGCCCTTATACATTGGCTGTATTCCAGACCGTTAGTGTCATATATGATTGTTTTTCAGTACTTAAGTAACATTATTTACATATTGTTGTATAATAAATTTTTCAGGGAATGTGGTGCTGATTTCATAATTGTTCTTCCATTTGCGCATTTAGAAATGGTTGGGTTTTAAATACTACGGTAGTAGTAATTTCGCAGTCAGTGCTCTTCAACAAGATTTTGTTATTTTTCCGACTTTGAATGTATTTTGTCACAACGTTACCACGTTTATGAGGTCAAAAGAAAGTGCGGAATAAAGGAAAGCAGCCTCTTATCGTCTCCTTAATAAATTATTATCGTAAAACGTTCGATATGTGCAATAATCAGCGTCGGATACACGTTAGATATTTCAGGGAATGTTTTTTGCGAACTGTATTCCCAGTATGCACTTATCTAACGCTAATATTTACCATTACGATGTTTAATACTTTCAGCGCAAAATCTTTACTTACTTAAAGTTCTTTTACTGTATTCAAAAACTTTACTGTTCATTTACTGTTTAATATTAGGTTACTGTTTAGTGTTTACTGAGTAAATCCTTTTATTTTACTGTTTACTAAGTAACACAACATTGCTAATAAGCATGCACTCAGAATCCAAATTCCCGCGGATGCGTGTAATGAAGACATTGTCCATGCACAGAGCGCCGCTGTCTTTATTTCGCCATTGAACAATAATCTCCTCGTTCCACCGGTAGGGCAGTTAGCCGCAGTTTGTACCCCACAACACGCCCTAATGACCGTTGCACACGAAAGTATTTTCAAGCATGTTACACAAGTACATAGTAGATAGTACTAAACTAACGTACTCGTTTGGCAAAGGTGATACGTTTCTTAAACATTTACTGTTTACACCTCTTTAATAGTGTCGGTACTACAGAAAATTCGGACATTCGAAAGTTGTGCATTTGCATGACACTTTGTCGTAACTTTTCAGCATCAACTTTTTTCGGCAAACAAATGCCGGATTTAGCTTTTTCTGTATGCCACAATCCATACATTCTGCTGAGTGCTGACCAAACTAGACATGCAGAGTGGCCGACAATCCATAATTAAATGATAATTTTGTCTTTATTTTGTCATCTGATCTCGAAAATTAAATTCTCACAGATTGTACAATGGTCATCCTACATTTGCAAATCGATATGGAGTCACGGAGACCGTCAGAATTTGCATACACAAACCGGGTCAAACCCATCTCTCAACAGTGTCACGGGAGAAAATGAAAACATGGTCTTGACAATCGGCAGGCCTACGTAGGCAAGCTACGCTCCTGTAACTCCATCTCTTATACTGATTACCGTATGCGGCAAAGTCAAATTGTGCATGCTGTTGCTGCACTCACTGCATCACGTATCACAGAATTAGAGCGCTACACTGCGATATTTTCTCGGAATTACTGAATGCTGGCTCGTGACTTCCTTGTTCTATACGTGAATTACAGCATATAAGCTATCAAACCAGCCGAGCGAACAAACGACAGAACTCGGCGGTCGCTGACTACGGCAAACGCCATCGAATTGGATCAAACCGGCAGCATCCCAAACTCCGGTCCGTCATCCACACCATCCTCCTCCAAAACCGGGAGCGGCGCGCTCACCGTGACCTCTCCTAGCATCTCCGCGTCGGCATGGCTCGGCGACGGCGGCTGTATCACCCGGAAACATTCGTGGTTCAGCAGGCGGTCCAGAGCAACACGGGAGCCCAGCCGGCCCTCCGGATCCAGGCACTCGGTGAAGGAATCCGAAGGCACTAGGGTTGTGGCGTCGGTGCACACCGACACGGTCAGATCGGCGTGTACGGTGACCGTCTGGGTGGTCCAGTCCCCGGCCAGGGTCAGCTGCTGCCGGCTGAAGACGACGGATTTCGTGGTGCCCTTCAGGAGCTGCCAGCCGACATCGGGGGCGGTGTAGTTATGGCTGGATAGTTCATCCCTAGAAAAATTTCAAGTTGCCAATCTTAATGCAACATTTCACCTAGGACCTACATATTGCCCTCTCACTGCGCGAGGTTCAGCAGACGGAAACATCTTAACCAAAATAACCTTGACAGCAAAGAGTGTTTAAAGCAGAATGTTTTTTCGTTCGTACACCGTAACACCGGTTTAGTCACTTTTGCAGTCCGTACCATAGAAATATTTTAACAAGCACGATCATTCTAACATTAACGCAATAATACATAAGTACGAGGCAAGCGACAACTCTTTCCCATCGCTTGAGTAAATTTTATCACTTTCCCTGCTGCATCTTACCCGTGTGCAGGCGCTCACGTGATACTTGATTTTAGCCGTCACGTCGGTTTGCAGCTATAGTTGATTGTGCAAACTGATAAAGAATATAGAGAAGAGCACGGCAGGCGAGATTTTATCGCCGGCTCAGTAAGCGGTGATTACAATGGATACGATATCAGTATCACGTGAGCGCCTGCACACGGGTAAGATGCAGCAGGGAAAGTGATAAAATTTACTAAAGCGATGGGAAAGAGTTGTCGCTTGCCTCGTACCAACAATCGAAAATTAGAAATAAGTAAAACCGTATTTTTAAATACGGTTTTACTTATGTTTTACGGGCATGCGCGATAACACAAATCATTCACAATAAAAACTGTATTTGAAATGTAACGGCCAAAGCAAGGGTACAGAGCATAATAAAAAATTCGGAAGACTAACAAAAGATTGATCAAAAAATAAAGAATTACAATAAACTGATGATCAAACCACTCTTCAATTAAAAGACAACAAATTAAATTAAAAACGAAACACATTATTCGAAAATTCTTTTAAAAAAATGTATAACGCCGACCTGGTGCTGTATTGTACGTCAAGGGAGATCAGAGGAATGTTAAACATTTTCTTACCATAAATCATAGCGTGCCGGTTGGGGGAGACCGTCCGGATCATCGTCAGGAAGACAGTTCGTCGGCAGGATATCCGGCACTTTGCCGGTCCGCTTCTTCCGCTTAATAACCGGCTCTTGCGTCTCTGCGGCTTTCTTGTCGCTATCAGCCGCCACGGGGACTGGCGCCGACGGCTCTTCCTGTGATGACTGTTGCCGTTTCTTCCATCGGCTTTTTCTAGGCGAGTCAGGAACGATTTCATTGAACGAACACGTGAGAAATTCTTCCCGCTGGAAAGTAGCGGTAGCTGGCTTCTTTGTCGTGGCGGATTTCTTGGCACCCTTGGATGTTTTGGATTTCTTGGCACCCTTGGTACCAGACGTCTGCTGACCGCTTCCGCTCTGAAAAAAAAAAATAAAATCCTGATGTCAGAAGTCTTAAAACTGTTTGACTTAACAAATTTTTCAAAAGAGATTTTTTCTTGACTTCTCGACAGTTAAGCAAATTTCCGCTTTTAGGTTTAGGTTTTAGGTTTTAATCGCTTAGTGTCTACAGATACAAGGAATCACTCCTTATCGAGATCTATAGACAGGTCAACATAATCTATTACAAAAAAAAACAAATAAAACTTATATAAGAAAACAGTAAAACATTTCATCAATTTCATCGATTTAACAAAAGTCAAGGTTATTCGACGGCAGATGGTCGTTAGCAGATGCGATCTCCTTCCAAGAGACGTCTTCCAATGCTCTTTGGAATGATTGCAGTGAGCAGTACGATGACGGATCTAAATTGAGGTCGTTCCAAAGTTTAGCAGTCCTCCATGAGAAAGAATTTTCGCTGGCTGGCACTTCCGTTCCACAAAACTTGTTCTGGCAGCTTGAATCGGGAATGGGTGGCGCGACATCCGATCGGCATTCCGAGTGTTACCTGCAACAGTATCGACGGCAGTAACTGACTCATAACAAATAAAAAAATGGCTGCCAAAAGGTATCATGCCGAATACGAGTTTATATGCAACACACAAAGACGTTTTAATGCGACGCAGTTCAACACAATCCCAATTTATCTCGCGAAGCCTGCCATTGAAATTTGACCATTGAAATTTTTCAAACAGATTTCTTTCAGCTTTTCGACTACCCGAGTAGACAAAAAAAATAATTTTCTTTCGGCAAAAACTTTCAGCTTTCTGCAAATTGACAAAATCGCCGAAAAATGTACTCCGCTAACTTAACTCTAAATTGCAGTCCAGTGTCATTTTGAACATAATGCTCATTTTGAAATCACTGCACAACTCAGCGAATGCTGTAGCAAAAAATTAATCGCCATCTGCTTAAATTTTTAAAATCACTTTTGATGGTAAATACATCATTCCCTGCTCAGGAATATGATCACCGATGATTATGATCACCGTACTAGTAGTACTCACGTGATGACAGCGGTAAGCCCATACACTACAAATCTTAACAAACGCCATGTTAGTACAAACGATGCGAAACGATTTTTTGAAAGCCAGCTCAATTCATCCACATTTTCACCGATTTAAACCCAATAACCTGTTAATTTATTGCAGTTAATTTTCCGGTTCAATATAATAACCTTGCGAAGAGTTTCAGTGTTCGTTTACTAGCTTTTATCGGTTGTTTCTCACCTTCTCCCGGGCGGTCTTCTCCGCCATGAACTCCCCGGCCCGCAGCATCCGCACGGGATACGCGCCCTTCTTCAGCTTCCATCCCACCCCGCCCAGCTTCTCCACCATCTCTTCACTAAAATGCCGCGAACAAATCATATTCCGCTCATCCCACGCCCGCGCATTCTCCAGTCCAATGGCCTTCACCCATTTCTCATACACCAACTTCTTCTCCGCACTGTCCTCATCCGCCGGTTTCTTCAGGCACCGGTGCAGGGTCACGCCCAGGCGTTTCTGGTCCACCATGCGCGCCGTACATCCCCGAATTATACAGGTCTGCCGGTGTTTTTTCACCAAGTGCGGCTTGTTGGTGCGGATGCGCGGGACGCGGACGGAGGGGTCCGCTGGCGGCGCCGGGGGTTCCTGGTAACACGGGCGAAATTTGAGACCCTTCTCTGGCGTTTGCGAAATGAGTTTAAAGGAAATTAAATTTGAAAGTTTAATTATGTCATATAATATTCACATTCATCTGACAGTATTAAAATTCAGATTTGCGCGCGCAAACGGATTTCACAACTACGTACACAATTCTTTTGGCTACAGAATACCATAAAGCAATGCAAAAAAGTGTTTGGGAATGCGCTGTCGAGAGTGCGCGACAGAGAAAGTTCCCGTGGATGTACCGAATTTGGTGCTATGTATCAGGCCAAATCCCTTAAATCTTGCGATTCATCCGCTTAAAATTGTTTTTCTTAAGAATTATCTGTAGTATATTCAAAAATTAATTCTACCATTCCAGTTATTTTGAACACGCGAAGCTCTATTTGAGTTTCAAATGATTATCTAAAATAATTATGTCATAATATTAACTCGGAAGCTTTCACTATCAGGCGACGGAATGATGAGAATAAATCATATTCTTCTATCATATTTTATTTTCTGAAATGTACTTCGTGAAATCATTAATTAAACCCTGGTTTTTTTCCGCTAAATTTGTTTTCTAATGATTCATTATTTTATTAAAAATCAATTTCATCCATTTCCTGTCATTTGGACGACGCGAAAGCCAGATGTATTTTGGAATGAATTTAATTTATCGTTCCAAATGTGAAACTGTAACTGTAACCTTACCTGGTATAAACCGGAGCCTTTGGGACGGCGCGGGTAGGTCTTCAGTGTCCAGTGGGGTTTGTCGCGGCGGGCGCGCTCATAGGCGTCAAACGCCGCTTGGATGGTGTGCAGAAGGGTGTCGAGATGCTGGAGATCGGCGGCGGCGGCCCGGTGGAAGAGCGGCCGGAAGGCCAGCGCCTGCAGCTGACTGGCTTGCAGGAGTTTCTGGAGACGCTCGCGACACGGCCGGTAGTTGAGGGGTCTCTCGTCTACCTGAATATTTCGCCAATCAGCTCGCAATTTGTGCAGAATTAGATCACATAAAATATGTTTAATAACCAATCTCAGAACTTACGAGGTAATTATGATTTTCACAATATACAAGTATTCCGCAAAAATATTACCACAAAAGCGCCTGCAAAACATTTTTTTGCATTATATTTTCTAAAGATTCTCCCGTTATATCCGACATAAATATTCACCAAAAAACTGCCCAACGTAACTCCCGTTCCATATTATCACGGGTCGTACCATAATACCATCGTACCAGACATAAACTAATCAGAAATAAATCCCTAAAAAATCATGGAATTATTTTTGTAAGTTATTCGAGTTTGAGTTTTTATAATCATATTTATTTCTAAACAATATTTTTGTAAGTTATGGAATTATTTTTGTAAGTTATTCGAGTTTAAGTTTTTATAATCATATTTATTTCTAGACAATATCCTAGTAACGATTATTATTTTTAAAGAATCAGAACTGTTAAACTGTAAAGTAGCAATTTTCAAACAATATAATTAAAATGCAAAAATATTTTGGTGCTCCCGTTGGCAGTTAGAACTCACTTTAGCATCGTTATATGCCTGGAGAACCTTTGTCCATGCCGCGCAGTAATCAATTTGTTCGGTGTGCTGAAAGGGATTGATTTCCGTGATAAATTCCACCAGCTTCAGTTCCGACTGGAAACTGTGGTAAGGACCGGCGTCACCGTCTTCTCCGCGTTCCACGGCCCTGTTTAGTAATAATCAAACTTTTTTGAACATTGAATATTGTACATCAAGTTACCAACCTATATTCAATAACATATTCATCTGGGATATTTATCTATCTTCACTGATTTTCTTCATAGGATATTTTTCTATTTATTTTTATTTAATTTGTTTGTACTCGTAATAATTTATTTATCAACGCTCACTATGTTATACAGCGCTTTCTTCGTTTATTAAGTTAACATTTTTTAGGTGATCACATCTTTATGTAGTTATCAGTTACTTGTATTATGTTGTACGAGTATGTGTTTATATAGTATAAGATGCTAAATCCGGTTGTTACCAATCGCGAGACAAGGTAACAAAAACGCCAACGCACCGCCGTCGTTTAACCGGCAGTTCCCGGTTGACTTCCGGCGCCAAGTGTTCGGCATGGAAACGCCGCAGATGGTTGAGCAGTGTGGATGTCGTGTTGGCCAGAAACAGTTTAGAGCAGTAATTACATACGTTCCCCGCGGGATACGCTGGGCGGAAATGCAGCCATGCCGGAGATTTCGATTTAATTTCGCTCTTTTCTGCAAACAAACTTCAGTGCACATTCAATGCAGTCAACATTCCTGCACGTTTCTTGGGAACTGGAACTTCCTTAAAAATCTTTCGAAATTACAGTACATGAGGTTGTCGTATTTATTTTATACAATTATTTTAAAAGTCGAGATACACACTTCAGTAAAATTACGCCAAAACTATTTAAAATAAAACCTAAAAATAAATTTAATTAAAAAAAGTTTAAACGACAAATAAGAAAATAAATAAATAAAAAGAAGAATAAATAACAAAATAAAATAAATAAAAATAATTTTTAAAAAAATGAATTAGAAAAAAATAAATTAAAGCTATAATTATGAAAAAATTCAGCCTATGCTTTACGAACACAACAACACCCATTAACGCTATAACAGCATCACTATTCGCTATTATTTCGTTGCCGGTAGATTTTCGCAGATTGTTGGAGCAATAAACCATTCAAAACATTTCCGTGCAAATACCGTTCTCGGCATTTCCTCCATCGCACACGGCAGCTCCACGACGATACAGTGATAAAATTTTCCACTGCCCGTTGGCGTATTTCTGCATACGCTGATCTATTAACGCTGTATTCCCTTCGATCGGTAATTTTTTCACTGCAAAATACCCCAGAACATAGCAATCCAAAATTAAATTATGACAAAAATTATCACGCATTTATCAGCGACAAAATATTATCACAAAAAGCGCAAATCCCATGTAAAAATATTTCAAAGTTAACACAGCATACACCGAACTCGAATCTCACGCTGAAAAAAAAACTAAAAAAAGCCTAAAAAATACTTCAGAATTAATACCTACTGGCTACTGCTTGCACAAATTAGAAAACAAAATAAAAAGGTAAGTAAAAACAACTGTCTGATTAATTCAGAGAAAAATAACGATTGTACAAATAAAATTAAACTCCCACAGGAAATAAAAAAAATGATCTAAAAAACACCGTAGAAAATAAATAACAAAAAGATAAAACCAATAAAAATACGCTAAATAAATTTTATGGAAAACTGCATCAACACAAATTTACGGAAAGTATGGATAACCGGCACTTACACGAGTTGAGGCTGTTCTCCGGGAGGTTGCGTGTCGGCATGGCCTGCGCGCGCACCGGGAGGACGGCGGTGATATCCACATCCTCCGCGGAAAAATGCTCCGTACAGATGTACAGCTCGTGGGTTTTACCCACGTACGGCAGCTGCAGCTGCTGGAAGGCCGCCTTGCGGGGCGGCATGCGCTCGTACAGGCGGATGAAGCGGACGAGGCGGGGGTCCGTGTTGTCGGCGGTGTGGGTGCACAGCGGCACCACGCACGTCTCACACGCCACGATCACCGTCACGCCGCTGCTGTCGGGCATCCCCACAGACTCCTCGGTCTCTGCACCAGCCGGACCGGGGCTCGGATCGGTGTCTGCAAGCATAAAGGTAAAAGAAATATCATGAGAATCTAATATGGTGCTGATTATCCGAAATTAAAAGATTAAATACACAGAAACTACAGTATTTAACAATTACTTACTTATTTAGTTATTACTTTTTTTAATGTATTATGTGTGATCCCTGAAAATAAAACGCTTAAACTACACCCCGAAACGTGAAATTTAAACGCTTATTTATTTAAAGTAAAGTCATTTCCCTTTAACTTGTTATGTGTAATCGAACGCTTTATTCGTATTTAAATTATTTTACATATCATATGAAGTATAACGTCTTATTTAAATTCTTGTTTTAATTCGATTAACTTTGATTCTGATTTTATTGTTATGCCAATCAGAAACAATTAACGTTTTGTGCAAGGAACAACGATGCCGCAGACGCTAACAGAAAAGGAAAACCAGTTAAATTTTTCCATTGATACAATTTTTCGCGCAAATTCCCTGATTTGCTTACAATTCCCAGGTTCCTACCTGGCACAGTGGCCATCAGGCGCTGGTAGTCGGCATCAGCTTGGTTGCGAAAGTATGTGTCAATTAATCGAAAATGAGCCATGAAGCTGTAATCCGTTACTTTGGATACCACGGCTCGACAGTCCTTCTGCAAACATGGAGAAAGATGAATTCTGTTCATGTTTTCACTGAAGTGTTAATTTTTTTATTTCTCTAATTCTTTTCCATATAAACAGAAATGTCACAATGGAGTCTGCACTCAGTGTACTGTACACAGAAATTTCAAGAGATTGTTAGAATACATATCTAGACTGATTATATGTTTATGAATATTGTTCAGAACAGCACATTTGTTATGAAACTGGAAACTTTTTACTTGTTAAATAACTTAAATTTAAATCATTTCCACTAAAATTCCTTCGACTCCTTCTACAGTTATTATTAGTATACTGTATTCACGTTTCATTATAACCAGCATTTTACTTATTATTTTCCTTTTATTAACTTTTTATTTTTTAATTTATGTACGATGTGTGGCATTTTTGGCAAAATTAAATATCTACGTACAACAATTATTCTTGTACGAAAAATCTTCATAAGAAATCTGTGAAGAAAATTAATTCCAGGAGAAAACCAAGAATAAAAGAACCAAACATGTGGCATTTTCGACAAAATTAATTAAGGTATCGCCGCATCTGAAAAAATTATTTTTAGACGAAACATTCTCATAAGAAATCTGAAGAAAATCAGTGGCAGAAGATGAGAAGAAACTAACATAAAAGCCAGTCTTACAAATGTGATTGTAATAAGAAAATTACCCACGAAATTAAGTGAAGACATTAATCAGAATTCAGCGTTACCCGATATCGTTTAAGAAGCTTCTGCCATTTGGCTCGCAGCTGCAGCGGGGTCTTGGGGACCAGAGCGGGGAAGCGCTGACGAAATCGCTCGCTGATCTGCTGCCACAGATGATCCTGCTTGCCTGGCTTCCTGTCATCAACCGGGAGGACGTCGAACAGGAACAGCGGATTCATAGCGATGCGCGTCTCCACCAGCCATCTGCAGAGAGTACAGCACAGCTATCACGAGTGCGTGATCGTCTTACTCATTGAGCATCATTTCAACGATGCCAACAGCAGCACCCGATTCGGTGCTACTGTTGGCATGGCTGAAATGTGCCGCAGAATCCTACTCCCCAGAAACCCCAGGGCCTAAGAGGCTAAGTCTCTTAAGAGATCGGAAATTCGAACAGCAAAGCAGCAAACGGCAAACACTCACTGGGTTTCTTCAGCCTGTGCGTCACGGCTCGGTCGGGAACACGATACAGGCGCCTTGACGGCGCTCTCACCGTCAGGATCATCCATTCTCCAAAAGAAAGAACATGTATAAAAAACTGTACACCACAGTTATTTCAGTTCGAGAGGATAGTAAAGACATTCGCAATCTGATGAGACTCAATGACTCCGGAGAGATCAAAATTCGAATACGAGTATGTGTACCATGTAGTTCTATGTATGTAGTATGTACAATACGTATTAGATCGCGTAAAGGGGGGATCCATAAATTACGTACGCAGCGAACCAGGGAGGGACGGGTCCAAAAAACGTGACAAGCTGTGACGACCCCCGACGAACTGGGGAGGGTGGTCATCTCCATGTATTGCGATTGAGCGAACCAGGGGGGAGGGGTCAAGCAAACGTGACGGACCGCTACGAAGGGGGAGGGAGGGGTGAAAAAACCGTGGTTTTCTGCGTACGTAATTTATGGATGCTCCCAAACGGTACGGGTAAACTGTAAAAAATAGAATCAGATACTGCCCTCCTGGGCGGTCGGCATCTCCGCATAAAATAGTAAGTAGTATTTAAAGTACGAGTTATAACGTCATAACTCGTACTTATGAGTTATGACGTATAGCCGTCCAAAACGTCCGAACACGAGTTACAAATTCAGTAGAAACTTCCGGATACGAATTCTCACTGATCCCTTCTGTTTACGATTGCAGACTATACGTCATAACTCGTACTTATGAGTTATGACGTATAGCCGTCCAAAACGTCCGAACACGAGTTACAAATTCAGTAGAAACTTCCGGATACGAATTCTCACTGATCCCTTCTGTTTACGATTGCAGACTTTGCAGTAGTATCGTGTTCGCATAGTGCATGTGTCCATTTTATTTCAGCAGCATCCAAAGCTGAGTGTTGCATGCGCCAGTCAGACCGCACGGAATTTCGAACAGCTAAGTTGAGCTAACCGAAAGGGCTCTAGGCCAGACTGCAGCGGATATAATTATAAGTTTATGCATTAAAAGCGGAAATGCGCACATTACGAAAGCACGAACGCAATGGTCTCTATGACAATTCCCGTATGTCGCACAAAATTCCGCCAAAGGCATAAATGTTTCCACCTTTCGCACGACTAGTTCGGCATTGTCCCCGAGTATTTCGAAATAGAGCTGTAATTTGTAGCCGCCCAAAAGTTTTGCCCACCAGATTTTTTTGCGTTTTACGTTACGCAGAAAGGTCATCACTCTTAGGTCAGATTTCAGAAGGCTTACATGCGCTCGCGAAGCAGGGCCTGCTTCGTGCCCATGCCGCCGCCGGTCGTTCGCCATCACTTCAGTTTTTCGCCTGCTCGCATATGGCAGTTTTGCAGTAAGTTTTCCATCTCTTCGGGGACTTAGCAAATAATCACTTCCACGTGGGAAGCTAACTAAATCAAGCTGCCAAACCGGGAAGTTGCCATTTGTTCACCCACCGGAAGCAGTTGGAATTTGTAATTTTAAAATTTTCGAATTAAACAAATTTATGGAGGAAGTCAGGTTAGGTAAGGAGAAATCAATCAACTGCCCGAGTGACCGTTTAGGAATTTCCGAAAGTTTAAATAAGCCTCTCAGGCACGTCGGATGAGGGCGAGTGTTTTCCTCCCAGCAGTTAATAGGCGAAGAGAGACAGAGAGAGAAAGAGGGCAGACAGAAACGCCACTCTGGTCTGCTTGATAGCTATGCAGCTGCACTGCTGCAGTAAATCGCCCGCATGTACTCTGTACAGTATTTCCGGCTGCTTGCACAGTTGCAGTTCCAGGTCTATCGATCGCTACTAAGCGTGCAGTACATACGTTAACACTCGTAACAATATGTTATTAATTTTACATGTATAACTCGAAAGCTGTTGCATCAACCGTTTGGCATGATACATCTAAGATATTATTATATTCTGCTAAGAATTTTCTGGGGAATCCAGGACCTTGAATATGGTTGCGAGTAACTTTTTGAATGTGGATTTATGCCTAGCTAGTAGTGATAATTAAACTCTTAATTTTGCTGGGAATTAAACATTATGATTAATTCAATTAAAATTATGGCAATTTTGATTATGCTGAGCGTAATTAAAATTGTGCATTTTTAATTAAGCTTAAGCATAATTAAAATTCGTCAATTTTAATTATACTTAAGCTTAATTCTGAGTCAAATTATGAACAATAAAATAGTCTGATCAAAGAAAACTGAATTTTAATTATGATAAGCAAAATTAAAATTGAATTTTAATTATGCTCCAGTTTAATTAGAAATTGTTGAATTTGATTATGCTGATCATAATTAAAATTGATCAATTTCAATTATGATAAGCTTAATCAAAATTATAAGCAAAATAATTATGATGAGTTTAATATTCACTACTAGCTAGTACTTACTGACCATCATTAACTATGAAATACTCGTTAAATGGCTTAAATCGCTGATGAAGGCACAACCGGAGGTTAAAGGATCAGATGCAGACTCCGGTATTCAACTCGAATCTTCTACACGTGTAGCGAAAACTTTCGAAGAGCGTGGTACCCAAACGGATATCAATCATGCCGGGACGAAGTCACGTCTGCCTCAACCCAAAATTCTCCCGAATGGAGGCCTGCAGTTTGAATCGCTTGAGGATTTTGTTGCTTATAGAGGCTGTAAGGCTAAGGATCATATTTTAACCACTGAAGAAACTCCCTGTGAAAGATGCTTTTCGTGGTTTCTTGATAACTGTGCCTGGTGGATTCTACCTGTGCTGATAATTGGCTCGAGTTGTCTCATGGTGTATCTCCTCTTAATTGTCCCCACTATTTGAAGGATAGAAATTTAGAGGAGATAGGATAGAGGGTAGGGATTTAGATTCGTCTCATGGTGTATCTCCTCTCTTAAGCCTGCTGATTTATTGTTAAAATGAAAACATTCTAAGCGATCCGTTCCATTTAGCAGATGACTGGTTAAGGGACGTGACCCGGTACATGGTGCCAAATTTGGGTACATTCACAAGACCATCCACTTTCGTGCACTCCCAATCACGTTTCTGCATCGTTTTGTCACATTCTGTAGCCAAACATTGTATACGTTGGTGTGATCGAAAACCGTTTGTGCGCGCAAGATCCGGTTGGGAAGTTATGGGCGATACCAGATCCCGAAAAATTTAAATGCAAGGTGTACCAAAAGTCGGATTACGAACAGATCTCTTTCGAATTTTGCAAAAAAAGGCACATAAGTATAAAGATCATTTTGACACAGAAGCAAAATTCTGGAATTTTTTTCGAATTTTGAAATGAATTTTAAAATTTTTTAAACGATTTTTAAAAAAACAATTTTACGGTAACCAAAGTAAGTCTCACACAGGGTAATTGCTCCCATATTTAATGGTCTTAATTTATATGGTCTGATACAGCAAGTATGTCTGTGCAGTATACAGTATCAGTTTATTCTAACTAATTCGTGAAATCAGATTGTTAGAGTACCGGTTTCGGAATATTGATTACATTTATTACAGCATTTTCCTTTACCTTAACAGGCGACTTTCCAATAGCAGCTTGTGATGAAGTACTGGCAAGCGGAAAGTACTTATCTTGCAGTAAAAAAAATTTTAGGTTTGATAATCGTTTTACCGAGAGCAACTGCTTACTCAGGTGGAACCGAGAATTATTGGATGTCAGCCCAAAAACAAATCCACCATTTCCACTACGCAAACCAGACGATTTGTGTGCTTGGTTGTGCGTTCAGCGGGTAATTTCTAGTGATGTCGGATGTCTTTCGGCTGAAAATACTAACCTTCTGCGGAAGATTCGAAGATCATCCATTTGCACTGACATTTTCTTCCCTCACCTTCTTCCGAAGATGGTGAGGAAAGCAAGTCTCACTGCGAATTAAAGACTTCCTACGAATCCGATCACAGCGAACGCGAGTGGTAAATACCAATTCCTTACAGATCTATATTCTATAAGCTATAATAAACTATTATAAGGTATTATCTATATTCTATAATAAACTATTATAACGAGTGACACGGTACATGGTACCAAATTCGTGCACTGCACATGCATGAAAACATTCGCTTTCGCGCACTCCAAAAAATTTTTTGTATTCTTTACAAAAGTATAAAAAGCCCTACCCGGAAAAAATCAAATTGTACGAAGTCGTCCGTATCTGACTGAAAAGACTGGGTCTACTGCACATTCGGTTGGCTGTTATCCTTTTTAGTACCTTCCGCGATCGTCTAATTGGTGTATGCACCAGTTGTAGCACCCGCCTTCGATGGCTTCGATGGCCTTCGATGGCTGGAGTAGAATGTATGCATTTTCTACGGAAATATTCATATCGAAGTGGCTATTTTGCCGCAGTGTTTGCGGCTAAATAGCCAGTTGGCTATTTTGCCGCACTAAGGTGGGCAAAATAGCTTGTTGGCTGTTTTACCGCACACTCTCTCGTTTTACCGCACTTTTATCTCTCGTGCTTTAAGCATTGCAGTTTTGAACCGTAGTCTTTGCAGTGAATCCGCGCTCAGTTGCCGAAAAATTCCTATCCGAGTTTATTAACCAGAATTAGCTCAGTTTATTAACCTGAATAATTTGTCAATGCAAAAAATGCTTCCCATAGAGCACCGTGCGAACAGCGTAGGAGTTATTGGGGATGATGGCTTCGTGCGCTGCGGCCTTGTGGTGGACGTGGCGGACAACGGACTGCTCATCGATTTTCGCTGTTCTCAGCAAAAATTTCAGCTGATTCCGTTCGATAAAGTCCTCACTTCATGGCCAATACCGACACGTGATGTGGCCAAAAAGACTTCCGACCTTTATGTGAAGGTTCCCGTAGAGCTTCTGGTACCAGAGACAGCGAGTGGTCCATGGATCTGGGTGCCCGCTGAAATGAATGTTGTGGGGCACGATATACCCCACCTATGGTACGAGGCAGCTGTTGTCCAGTGGCGGGATAAAGACAACGGCACTCTGTGCACGGACATAGTTCCCCTTGAACGCATCCGTCGGACCCCAACCTTGCTACACTCGGCAGTGATGGAGATGGGTCCTGACCTGGCTTACCGCTGCACCAAACCAGGGGAATTAGTCAAGGCCAGTATGCCGCTAAATGAAAAGGTTGCATTGTTGTCTGCGGAAAAACTTGAAAATTTGATGAAGCGGTTAAGTGAATATCTTCGGATTACGCTGTGGTCGCGAGTTGCCATA